ARWTTTTKCGAATTTTTCCGTTTCCATCCACCTTTTAGAATGTGATTCTTCAAAATGCACATAAAAAACGTCACCCTCTGTGATGTGATCATGTGTTTGTCACTATCTGTTTATTTTTCTGTCAGGTAGCACAATATCTCATCAATTAACAGAATGGTTTTAATGAAGCTCTCAGCAAGTCTTTACTGAATGAATGTACAACTTAACTTATAATGGTTACCTCAACTAACCAACCAAACACAAAAATAGCTATAATGCACTATACATTCCTTCAGGGAATACTAACATTTACAGCATTTATTTATTTGCCAATGAATGTACTTTACAATTTAACAGGTGCTTTAGAGGGAGTGACTACTTTTGTATGTGTTGAGTCATGGCTACCTGAAGACACATGCAGAGGGTGGAGGTTTTGTTGTTGTCCAAAGTCCACTTCCTACAGTAGGCTATGAATGTGTTTATTTGGTTTTGGTTTTGAGGCAGCGGCATTCAAAAAGATGTTACACGAGCTGGCAGTTTTTATTATGTATTTTTGAGGGGTCCAGGGAAAAAAGTTACAAAAGTAGATTATCATACGTGAGAATATACACTTTCTGTTCAAGTTTTAACGTTTTGTTTGCCTATCAGATCTTCACTTGTTGTGCAGGAAGAGAAAGCTGCATTTTAAAGAGCTAGGCTTTAGTTATTTATTAGGCATTGTGCTGAACAGAAGAAACATTATCCAGTTACTCACCTGACAGGTTGAGCGAGGCATTGAGGACCAGGATCCACAATAGGAGAGATCGAGCCATGGTCCAAGTGTAGACAGCAAGTGTAACAGAGCAGGTCAGTGCTGTGCTCAGGTTTTATTCAGCCCTCATGTTGTATTCCTGTCTTTGAGAGGCCACACCTTCGCCAGCCTCCAAGACCTGTCACAGTGACTGCCTTTGACCACAACCTTACGACACACTTCCAAACCAGTCTGAACCTGCTGCTCTGAAAGAATTCAGGAAGAATACAGCTGAGTTTTGTGGTGGAGCTGCACATTAAAAACCAGTCTTCTGCTTTTTCAAACGTAACAAAACTTGATGACAAATAAATTTTTTTAAACTCAAATTTCACATGTCATACCATCAATTATTTATTTTTAGCTTCTTCTTTCGAGTTCCTTTTAAGGCTATAAATCAGTAAAATATTGGCTCAGCGTGTYGTGTCTTGCTAAGAAATGACACTTACATCATGGTAATTTCCACACAGATTGCTTGTCACTCTGATTTCACCAGATCCCAAAGCGTCACTTTGCTCGTCAAACATGCAGCAGATGCTTTAAGCTCCATATGCAGCAGGTTTCTYAGAATCTCACCCACAGGACACGTGCTTGGAATCACAGCAAGACAAATCATCTGGAGACAATAGGACCATTAATGCTGCACCCCACCACTTGCTGACAAAAACAGTGTCTGTGTTGTTGAAAATGAAGCAGATTTGTGAAGATGCCATAAATACACAGTGCCACTTTTTGGTTAATTTTTTTATTAATTTTTGGTTTGACAACAATAGTTGRGCACCCAATTTTTGACCTTTTTTATTATTTGTGTCACAGTTTTAAACTTGCATCTCCTCCTACAGCTCTGGAGTAATAAACATATACAAGAAGGTTTAGTTTGAATATTGAGTTCYGTGTTTTACAGTGGTACAAAATCTGCTCAACGTTTCCCCGTTGGCAACAATGGATTTTGGGCAAGGAGGTTCTRTAGAACAGCTGGAGTGCACAGAAACCACGTACAACTGTGTGATCAGCTGGAGAAGCTAATGGCTAATGCTAAACGGGCAAAACTCTGGATTTCCCATTACTCTACATGCTGACAACAGAGCAGAAAAAAACGGAGCACTTCCGTTGGTCATTCATTCCAACTGCAGTATAACACATCATGATGTTATCAGTCAGTTGGACAATTCACCTACACTGCCATCACTAATATGCACCTTCATATACATTCATTTTTGTGCTGTAATTTACGGTGTCTGTTAGTTTAGTTTAGTTTAGTTTAGAGTTTATTCATTTAAAAACAACGCAA